CTTTGAGCCATGATATGAAACATGCCCGTTTTCTTTTTCAGAGGTACCTTAGTCCAACTTGCAATTTCTAATACCAGCTGCAGCTTAGAGGGGATTGGTTTATGCAATGATGTCTTACTTCATGGTGTGCTGACAACAGAAGTCCATTGTTGAGATAATTGTTCAGACATGTTGGGTACAGATCATCGTTCGGCTCCAAAAATCCTCCTGCAGAAACAGACTCTGACACAGCAGGCTGGGAAACTGAGGAGAACTATTATTTAATAACTGCATAATGAGTTTCTCTCTTTTTGCTTTATGATGCAAGCCCTCTTGAGTCTAAACCAGCAGGTAAAGTCATTTTGGGGAATAGCTTATTAGTTTATCTTGTAGAGAATTAGATGACAACAAAGAGGCCTTCTTCACATCTGTACGCAAAATGTGAAGCTACATCCAGGAGAGATGGTTAGCTTAGCATAACATTAAGACTGGAAACAGCTAACCAAGGTATATATATAAATAATATATATATCCAAATGTATATATAATATAATATACAAACATCAAAGTCACAAAATAACACACATACAGTATACATTGAGGGAGTGGAAGAAAAGCAACTCAAATAAAATAGTAATTTGTATTCCGAGTGAACTCTAGTTAATTGTTTAATTTACTTCCTCTAGGCCAGGGTAAAGCAGTGAAAATATTCTAAAAATAGCATACTTTTTAACTTGTATTGATTTGTTTAGGTTGACAACAAACATTTAGTAGCTGCCCCTGTCTAAAGCAGTACATTAGTTAGCTTATTTGCCAGTATTCCAGTATGCCAGTCTGTTTCTGCAGAATAAAAGCATGCCGACCACATCTACGGTAGGTAATACGCTAACTATGGATACCTCAAACAACCCCACTTTAGACAATTCAAACTACCCCTTTAAGTGTGAGAGTGTTTCCCTAAACTGCCACTTCCTGACTAATGGAGGATGCACACAGAAGTACCCTCTGCTGCTGTGGAGATAATATGACCTTTAAGTGCTCGTGTGAAGGTCATTGGTCGGGTGATTGAGCCAAAATCACAGCAGGAGGCCGGATACGGATCATACGCCACACTCCCCATGTCACTGGAGTTTTAAAACTGACAGCTGGTCATTACTGTGCAGATCGAGCTGATGAAGTCTTGCACAGATATGGAGCTCATGATGGCGATGATCATCACACGTAAAAATCACCCATTCCATAAACTCTTCTGTCATCAATCACATATGTTTAATGTTTCCAGAACTCTCTTATGCTTCATTTACAAGTATTTTAAAACCAAATTGGACTTCTAAAACATATCTTCATTTGGTTTGTGAAACTTATAAGGCAAAGAGTCTCAAAGCTACAACCTAAAAGCAGCAATACTCAGATGTAGTTTTATTAATTTAGCCGACAGCGACACAAGGCCAGAATATGTCCAGGCTTTTTTCAGACGTGCTGAAGGTTGCAACCCCACAAGGCCTTTCAGTGTCCTCCATGTTCATTAAATACAGAAAAGAGCATTGCATAACCTCACTGCTGCACTCCACCTGAGAATGCATGTTTATTAGATGGTATTGATTTGGAAAACATATGTACAGAGTCAAATCTGGAGTGTTAATTGAACACTCAGTGTTAAAATTGACTCTTTAAGTGTTAATTTAACACTTAAACCTCCCTTTCACTCAAGTCAATTTTAACACTGAGCCAGTGAACATATTGTCCTTATCTCAGTGTTAAATTAACACTCCAGATTTTACTGTGTAAGCAAAATAAATATCCTTGCTATGTTGCCTCATGGAAGTCTAGATTACAGTCAATTCTGTGTCTCTGACGTTAAACCTTAACAAGAAAGTCTTATTCCAGCACAGCGGCTTGCTCCTTCTCTTGCTGTAAAGACACGATGAGATTGAAAAGTGGTGTTAGTGAGAGGAGAATCTTTTTATGGCGTCTCTCTCTGAGTTACCATAGCTGTGGAGAAGATGTGGTGAGCTGTTGTAGCGCAGAGAGTCAGAAGGTCTTAGCAACACATTCGAAGTCCCTCCAATCACATGGCTCTCTGAATGCAGCCGTGTGAGTCACGTTGAGAGAATTCCTCATATAAACAGCGGGCAGACATGCTAGACAGTGAGAGAGAGAGTGTGTGTGTGTGTGTGTGTGTGTGTGTGTGTGTGTGTGTGTGTGTGTGTGTGTGTGTGTGTGTGTGTCTGTGTGTGAGAGAGAGGGGGTGTGTGTGTGTGTGAGTGAGAGATAGGTGTGTGTGTGTGTGTGTGTGTGTGTGTGTGTGTGTGTGTGTGTGTGTGTGTGTGTGTGTGTGTGTGTGTGTGTGTGTGTGTGTGTGTGTGTGTGTGTGTGATCAGCTTCTCTTCTATTGGATGGAACAGGTGAAACGAACAAATAAGAACTTCCAACATGCACATGAGTATCTCCCGATCAAAGTAGGGACCTTAGTTTAAGAGACCCTATTATTCTCGTTTTCAGGTTAATATTTTGCGCCTCGACTGGGATATTTTTCTCATACTGCCTGTCTTTTCACCCTCTGTCTGAAACCAGAGCCTAGTCTGCGCTGATTGGGTACTGGCCGGCTCTGTTATAGATGTCTCGTCCCTCATCACGTACACTTTGTTGGAGCGCTATACAATTGAAGTGTGAGTGTTAAATAGTGATGTCACTTTGTACCCATGGAGGCAGGGGGGCGAGTGTGTGGAAGGGTATTAACTAGTATTAACAGACTTTCTGGTCACTTGGGGGCACCATGAACAACAGTGACATATTATTGCCTTTTAAGATGTTAGGGCAGATAATGGATTATTGAAAACATATTTAGCACTTGTCATTATTGTATTTTTATCCTGTGTTTGCGCCTGAGGGAAATGTCTGGCTCTTCAGCTGCTAAATGTCAATTACATTACATTTTACCTACAGCGCCAAATCATAAAAGTTATCTCAGTAAACATTTCATTTGAAGCAGGTGCAGACTGTACCCTTTATTATATTAAACATGAATGTCATAACAGGTTATGTTAAAGGTAACTTTTGTATTGGGGACAAATGTTTTATACTTTTACTTAAGACTAATTTGATTTTGAAAAGAGCATTGTCAAGATAAATGATTACAAACTTTGGGAAAAGTGAAATGACTAGAAAAGACAAACTGAAACACACACACAGACACAGACACAGACTGTCTCCCTCTCGGTTTGCCCTCTGAATCCCCCTCCTCGTCTGGCCCTAATGAGGTGCAGGATGAAACCTCCACCCACACCTTTATATATTTGGAGCTAATCAGCTAATCCATAGCACCCACAGCTGGGTGCACCTGCAGCAGAGCGAGGGTTTAGCAAAGTAAACACAGCTTCAAGGTCTCCTCTCCTGCTACTCCGAGTGTGATATCCTGAGATTTCCCAGCTACAAGTTAGACAAAGACAATTAATATAGATGCATATTATTGACGTCAACAACAGTGCATTGTGCTGTAGGCTGTAGAAACAGGCACTTATGTGTACTCTCATGTTCTGCCTTTCTCACACATATTGTAATTTACACATTTTATTCTAAACACATTCACTCTTTCTCAGATAGTCTCACCACAAACCTTTCTTTTGAAAATTGGAATAGCTGTATTGGCATGACCAAAACACGTTACAAATAAAAAAGACTGCATCTACAGGAATAGGCCTGTCTGTATACATTTAGAACTAAAGCACAATTAGCTTGTGTTCTGTACCACCAAACCAGTGCACTTTTTTGATCACGAACAAACAAATTAAATTCATTTCTGAAAAAATAAAAAGTATATATTCTGATTTAATAAGGTGTGGATGAGTATGGCAGTATATTCGAAAAGAATCCCAAAAATTAAACAAAATAATGTTGTTGTTTTTTACTTAATAAGCTGGGGATGTCTAGGGTCGCCGGTTCAAGTCCCCGAACAGACCTAATATGGAGTGTGGACTGGTACTTGGAGAGGTCCCAGTTCACCCCGCTCCCCGGGCGCTGTACAATAGCTGCCCAGCACCTAGTACTAGGATGGGTTAAATGCAGAGAACATATTTCACTGTGTGTGCTCTGCATTGTGTGGCCATTAAAAAGGGTTTCATCCCTCCAATTCTATTTTTTTTAAACAATTAATTGTGAAATACAATTTTTGTCAAATCAAATAGTCTGATTTAATTAGGTATTTAATGCCTATTAAAGAATATTGGAAATTCCCAAATATTCTATAAAGGAAAGATTTTCTTAAATTATTTAATAAGTTGTCGATGTCTATAGAGAATGTAGGAAACAAAATGTTCCAGGACAGATTTAAATTGTGGACATTGAGGAAGTGCTGCACTCTCTCTCTCTCTCTCTCTCTCTC